CCACCACCACCACCACCACCACCACCACCACCACCACCACCACCACCACCACCACCACAGATGAATGATAACAGTACCCAGATCTTCCTGAGTCCGCGTTTATTGGCGTTGAACTCTCATAAAGTCCCTGGTCCCTTCCACTTTCACCTCCAGACCCACCTCCCCGGACGTCAGATTGGTCACTCCTTACTCCGCTATCACTTACTAACAGCCACATCACAATGATTCCTGACTAAACCTTGTCTAACTAACATCTCCCCGTCAAATCTGGTGTCGTGCTTTTGCGTAATTGGCAGCAAAATGACATTGATGGGACACGGCAAAATGCATGGGCAGAACAGAAGTTGGGGAATCGTTGTTTATGGTTTTCGAGTGAAATATTTTCCATTTTGGATGCCGCAAATTCCACCAAATTTGGTGCTTCTCACGATCTCATGAGAAATCCACGGTCATCCTCTATTCTTGTCAGTTTCTCAAGCTAATCTCGCAGCTAGAAAGCGATTGAGGTAGATGAAGTACACGAGGTCGACACTACCATGTTGGAGAGGAATACAAGTTATGCAAAGATGGTTGACTGCAAATTCACCCATTCCAGCCAACAACCACGTGGATTAGCCACAACCGAGATTAAATTACACCCCCACACTAGCCCACAACACCGTGGTTTCCGAGCTAGTTACTGTCATATGACCTTGACCTCACGAGATGCCTGTCTGTTTGTGTGTGTGCGCACGTGTGTGCACGTTTGTAAGGAGGACGTTCACAAACCAGGTCGATGGGTGCTGGCTTTGTTCTCACGTTTTGTTACGCGTTGGTTTGGGAGCCTTCAGCTCGACCCCAATTCAATCTGATCGCCAGTTGGAGTGGAGCCCAACGCATGGGTCGACTTGGTTCGAACCAAAAACGAACACTTGCCCACCCGCGGTCAGAGAAATGCGTACTACTGAAATCGCTGTTGTCAGTAACATCCCCAACACGACAGTCGATGAGTTTTCTGTGATTGATCCTGATTCCCACACCAAACACGATTTCCAGACAATTCCTTGGTACACACTCCACACAACAAACAACCTTCATTTCACAACCTAGTCAAAAATTTCATCACCATTCCTGGAACTGCAGTTACTTCTGTCTCATGTGAAGCCATTTCCGACAAGTTTCGTGCACGCTAACTCGACAAGGTTCAGCTGGCAGGTAGTTCCAATGTCTACCTTTTAGCCCACATCCTGATTAGATGGTTTAAACGTAAGGCAGATTCTCCACCTCTTCACATCTCCAAGTGGGTTTATTTCGGGCGTTCTGCCTGCTGTTCATCACACGCAAACTGCAATCTTGCTCCCCAATTCACACTTTGCGTGGCAACGTCACGGGAAACAGTTCACACTCATGACACGAAACCACGTCCAGTTTGTGGTATTCAGTCATACAAGCGTGTCTGCTACATCCCACAGTCATTTTATAAATGTTCCATTACACGATGTCCATAAATGCATGAGAGTCAGCAGAAGCCACTGCAGGCGATCATGACGAGGAAGTGGCCGGTGGGAGATGTTGGAGAAGGTGGTTTCATCCTCTTCCGAGGTTTGAAAGGTGGGCCAAATGAGGACTGCCCGGTAAATTTCAATTTTGAAATTTCGAAACTGCGGTAGAAGAAACTCGCACCACTGACCCCGAGGAACCAGCCGTAATGGCCAATTAGAACAGTCCGGAATGATTTTGGTGATTGGACAGCAGATTCGTCACTCGAACTGTCACTAGACGATCAAAAACTTATGTTCCGTGTTCCTTCCGAGACCAAAGCGTTTGATAGATTGGACGGATGAGTGGTCACCGTTGAATGACCGCGACCTCACTAGACGCACGCCTACGTGTCTGTGGCTGTGCAAACTGGACGCTCACAAGCCAGATAGAAAATGTCGTTTTCTTCATTTTCCACTCAATTTCAACCAGACATCCGTTTGAAGTGGAGGCGAACGCGCGTGGCGATTCGGGACGAGCCGAAAAGTGCTTTTGACCACACGCGAACATTGTTGTCGTCGGCTGTCACTGTTTTAGTATCACCCTCCACAGCGATGCATGTGCTTTCTGGAATTACGCCTGAGTAGCACACCACCGACGAATTTTTTTTATAAAAAAAGGCAACACTCCTATCACGATCTGACCACCAATATCCTCACCACGGCAGGAACTACAGTAATTTCTGTTTCATGAATCGATTTCTACGATGAATTTCGTGCGGGCTAACTTGACAAGGTTCAGCTGATAGGTAATTGGTTGGGTTCATCGTTATCGGCGTGGTCAGCGGCGAACACGCTGAATTCATTTCTAGACCTGTCGGGTTGCCCTACAACAAGGACTATCAAGCAGAAGCAGTGAATCAACCACAACATTGTGTGAGGCATCTCTTCCACCGTGTGTGTAAGCACGCGAGTGCACTATCAAGGTCGTTACACATGAGTCCGCAGTTGTTCTCGATTGAGCGCACAACAACAGGCTGCACTCATTGGTGGATTTGTTTACGCATCTCCTCCGCACTTTTTAAACGAAGCCGCTGGAATCAGAGTGTCGCATACTTCACGCTACCTGATGTAAAGTAACGTTCAATTGTCACTACAACGTCACGCCAATTCACCTGACTGAATGTCCTAAACGCTAAGATTTGTTGCAGGGTTTGAATCTGTCGAGATCTTGATTCCAAAGTTACTGATGCATTTAAGAAACAGATCACAGGATCCCGAGAGCCATTTTAGCCACCTTTAAAGCAATTTCGAGTCTTATCGTTTACCAGGAGTGATCAAGAACGCATGGCAGTGTAGTGACTAGAAATTTAGCCCTACCTTATAACCCTCTAGTTAACACCCCGTAGCTACCCGAGGATAGGAAAAAGGAGGCGACAGAGAACACGACCGTTTATTAGAGTCGAACCAGCCAAGTGGCTTTGTGTGCGTATGAGCACGAGTAACAGGCGAATGCTGACAAAAATCAATAACAAAAGGGGATGAGTCATTGCTACACACGGGCCTTCGTGCACGCACACTCGCGCGGGGCGGCTGTCAGTCCACTACAGCAGAACTCAGTTCATAGGTTCTAAGGGATTCGGCAAAAGTCGTGCGACGTGCGTCTTGATCGATTTCTTTCCACAAATCCCATTTCAAAAAGTACAAGTTAGCGACAAGTAGGCGTGAGCAGCAGTCCCATCCGAAGTTAGGTAAGGATTTTATTGTCTACTAGTTGGTGCACTTCAGTTGCATTCCACACACGTGGAAGATGTGTGGCATATCATCTGATCGATGCCGTGATACCACAAGCGCGTGCCCGCCTTCCTGCTAAATGCACATTTAACATTCCAGAAGGTGTCGAACGGATCACAAGATGATCAGTCGTACACAAACTCGGTGCATATCCAAATTATCTACCTCTTATCAGAACGTGGTAGCGGTGAAACTCGACAACCGCACGTCAGTGTAAATTACACCCCTGTGCTGGTCACCCACCCTACTATAAATAAGCATTCCTGCACATCGCACCTTCCAGTCTCGGCACAGCGGCACAGGTGGTGCCCTTAAGGGTGCACGCGTCGCCCCCTCCAAACCTAGCACCATCAAATCGTGCCTCCGTGCACACCTCTACCATCAACATCTATTTGTTTCAGAGCAGAATTATAACCATCGGAAAAACGACAATAAAATTAGCCCAGGAGGAGGTTATTTTAGTTTGGCAAGCAGCGATATCCGCATACAACACACACACACGCAATACGTGGGAATCAAATTTATGTAGGTGTATAAAAACTAGGGCATTTGCATAAACAACTAGTTCGCCAGAGGTGCAGATACTTGCGAGGAAGCAGAAACGCGTAAGGGTGTCAAATGCAGCGATGCTCAGAAGTCGAGAAGCGGATGTTGAAAGCTGGTAAGAAGTGTCGGTCGCGCAGACAACTAACAAGAGAGAGAGTTCAGGGTGCTGCTGTTTACTCAAGGCTGCAGTCGCTCAGCGGAGCCATGGCAACGCCCTTCTTGGACCACGTTAGAGGTAGTTTGACCAGTTTGAGTAGAAGATCAAGAAACTTCTCGATTGGTGGTATACAAGCGGCAAAAGGCATCAGGAAGATGTAGATACCAGCAATGAATCCCGCCACCGGCCAGCCAATGAAAAACGCTAGCAGGAACCACACAACAGAGTAAATAATTCCCGGGCAGAACGACGCCATTCCGAACGTGCAGAATCGGAGTTCTGAGTGGCGGTTCACTTACCTGATCGTTTTTCCACTGTCCGTAGCCTTGCCTAGCTAGCTGATTGGCGCATTCGCTGAGGTTGCGTTCTGGTTGGCTGGTCTACCTAGAGAGCCTCCTGATTGGTTATTTAGTTTCGTACTTTGGTGTCACGTCGTGGGCATCTGTGGAACTTTGAAACTATGGTACTTAAGCTGCATAATAAGTATTTTCGGGCGTGACAACTCAAGCGTTGTTTTATTCACATACACACTTTAGAACACACGGAATGCCCGCGTGGCTTGCTTGAGTCGTTGATCGCTTTTAAAATCGCCAATTTGAACCTTGCACCCGCGCTAAACTGACGGTCTAGAGAGTAGGATCGAGTGACTTCGATTTCCAATAATTGGGCCTGTGATTGTGTAGGCTGAACCTTACCGGTCAACGAGATTAGCGAAGATCAGATACCAGTGACCAATCAGATTGCATCCAAGGTAGTTATATTTATGTGAGCAATGTGGCGAATGCCTCCAATCGTAAAGACATGAGGAAACACAACAAATGTTTGGTGAATTTTACCGTTTTTTATCTATAAAAAGCAGAAATATTTGTAAATTGTGAAAGGATTTTACAAGTGTCAATACATAGATGGAGAAAAAAAACAATGTAATGGCGTCAAATGCGACAGAAGTCAAACCACATCAGAAGTTGAGGGAGTAGGTTAAAACAAATTGAGGGATTGAACTAGGAGCGCTTATTCGATGCTACAATCGCTCAGTGGAGCCATGGCAACGCACTTCTTGGACCAAGTCAGGGGTAGTTTGACCAGTTTGAGCAGAAGATCGAGTCCTTGCTCAAGGGGCGGAATGCAGCCTGCAAACGGGGCCAGGATGATGTAGATGCACGCGAAAAAAGCCGCCACTGGCCAGCCAATGATGAAAGACAGTAAACACCAAACGATCGCGTACCCAATTCCAGGACATGATGACTCCATCTTGGAGATGCAGAGAAGGGGGACTGATAGATGGCTTCGTTACCGAGTCCTTTTGTCTCATCCACGAGTGCAGTGAACCGGGTGATTGGAGCATTCGGTGAGGTCACATTGTGATTGGTTGGTTGAAACTGGGGCCTTCGTGATAGGCTCCTTTGTTCGAGGCATCTCGATTAAGACAAATTACTCATTATCGAACATTTTTCAGTCGAAAAAATGAAGGGAACAGGATTTAAACTTTGAGGTGTAAATTAGGTGCAATTGTTGACATCAGGATTTCTTATCCTGAAATTGATTTTGTCGATGGTGCCCTACCTCGAGGTGATTAACCCGAATTACCGATCGTGGATATAAAATATTAGGTGGTAGCACTCACTCCGGCAGTTACAAGCCACGTCGCGGTTGTGTAGTGTCTACGTGTCTGCTGATGCCAGCTCGCAATCCAATTTCCATATTTGGAAATCAACCATTAAGGGAAACATTTTTGGTGCGTAACAGAAAAAAACCATTAGATTGCGCATATTATCTCACAAAACCGAACCTACAACACCTAGGCGGGAATGGTTAGAAGAAGTGAACCAATTAGATGAGTGCGCGGCCGGTGTGAATTGGTGTGCATAAACGATTTAAAAATGGAATGATGTAGTTTTCTAATTCAAACCCAGGTGTCGAATGTTAGCCCTCGAACGACCAATAGTGGTTATTTGAAGGCAGTAGCAACAATTATTTACGGACCCCATTAAAGTAGGTTTTTTCACGCCAAATGTAACATCTACCGCGTTACTCTGACCTTCCTATTAAATTTTTCCTGGAGTTAATGCACATCAGCAAACAGGTAATTGGAATACCCTTGTTTGACAGAATATGAGGAGACTATAGCTTGTGTGGAATGTTTTACTGAAGAAACAAAGGGTTTGATTACAAAATGGAGCTAAAGCCGAGGTCGACTGGATACTCATGTGTCTCAACGGTTGGACATCGATGAGATGAGTAAGTAACATTGGGTGGTGAATTGGTGGAGTGAACAGCGACGTGGCGTGACCGCAGACTTGTAATCAAGTGAGCGAATCGACGCCAGAAATCACTGTGTTCATTTACTTGTCTCACTTGTTTTACTACTTCAAAATGTTCATCAGGCGCTCGATTTGAAATTGCGGGTTCAGCCATGATGACACCATTTCAGCATGCTCCTACTATTGATTAACGCTCATGAATATTCGAAGAAATAAATATTGAGGTCAATATTAGTTAGATAACTAAACAAATTTTTCACGAGGTCAACTATGTTCACGAAAGTTGCATCAACAATGAGTAGTCGGAACGTTGAGGGGGCTTGAACAAATAATAAGGTCGTGCAGGATCAGCGGATGCTGAAACAAAGGTAGTCACTGCAAATAAATGCCAGCAAAGACGCGGAATCAAATTAACTGGTCCAATATCAGGGCTGAATGTGCCTCGCGTGATAATCGCACAAAATTTGAGGATGTGTGGCCCCAAAAACCATCTTGGTGGTCCACATTGAAAAATTTAATTTGCCATAGATTCTATTTTTTAATTGATAACTTTTATTTCCTGATTACTGCAACCCCTCTGAATTAACAGAGCATTTGGATGCATTCCGTTTGTGGCACATCAAATGGGGAACTAAAATGCGCCAATAGGAATCATACATTTTAAGATCACTTTCAAATTGTCCAATAGTAGAAGTTAATATTGCTCGTTGCTAAATGCCAAGTTCAGGTCTTCTTATTAGACGACTTTACCTGAATGCGCCATAGTGGGTGTTTGAAGGAAAGGTTTAGAGAAATCAATAAGTGACGCCGGTTGTGTTCAGTTTTACACTTAGTCACCCAATGTGAACAACTTCGAATTTCTAGTGATCGATGTTGATTAGATTGGTTAGTTTCTAAGCCATATTGTCAAACTGTGTGGTCTTATATCGTTTATATTAACAAATATTAATTAGAACTTATAAAAATCGGTTTTGCTGATTTCAGTGGGTTTGTCTATTTTTTGTCGAAAATATTGCGGAAGAAACAGAAAATGAATCACCGGAATATTGACTTTTGAAGTTGATTTAACCTCATCAGTGATTCTTCGTTGAATAGCTAATGTCAGATTGTTTTCTTACGCGTGTTTAAGGGGATGGTGTAATTTCATCACCAAATAACATAAACAGTTGGTCTTAGTCACGAAAACATCAAACATGGCGGAGATAACAGCAATTCTGCAAAGGGTAACTCCGCCAACCAATGAACGATCGATGGATGTGTGTGTCGCGTAAACTAGGCAATTGTGGACAAATCAATATTAGTGCTACAGGTTGCCAAATTTATAACGGTTTTTATAAATAAAGATGCCAACACAACTCTGGATTACCAGTGATAAATTGGAATTTGAGCCGAATTTATGTGACTTGGCATGCAGATCAGAGCGCGCCGTGTTTGTCTTCGACTGGGTCAAAGTGGTTTACTGGTCTCAGATCTGCAGCTTCCTTCGACTCACACGACTTTTCTTGATTCTTTATTGGTTAATTCCAAAAAAATGAGTGAAACAGTTTTCTCACCATTCGGAGATGTAAGTTTAACCGTGTCAAAGAAACATGCGGAAAGACGGAGATCGATTCTTACAAATTCTCAGCACGTTTTTGGTTACACTGAAATCCAGGCTAACATGAACGCACTGAGTTACTGTTCAAGAGGTGCGCTTATATTTTTGTTTTAGTTGGTCGATTTCAAAAAGTAAGGGTTTTTTAAAACGCAATACAGTTTGTATGCGACGAGAAGCAAGGTTACCGAATGTTGACGTTTTTCGCAGTCTGGTCACCCCCTCGACATGAAGAAGCGGCAATTTAAAAATCGCGGACACCGCCATTTTTGAATCACACCACACGTATGCCGCATTACTTACCAGCAAAGCCAGGATGTTGGCCACCTGTGTGTCCTTAACTGGGACTCACTCACGTGACCCGCGACACTACGCCACATTAACGGCGCGTGTTTTATGCAATGACTCATCTGTCTTGGATTCCATTAACACACATGCTATTTGTACACAAAAACGCACTCTCGGCACAAGTTTAAGGACCCGTCACAGAAACTCACATCTCGGAGCGAAAATTATGCGTTTAAAATTGTCGCCTAGGCAAATTGGTGCTCTAGTGGGGCGATGTGAGCGTGTTAAACAATCAAATTCTGTTACTTTGTGAAAATTCATACCGGAAATCGCATTTTTTTTTCAGTTTTGAGTATAAAAAGCTTAACGATAAAATGCCAAAAATAGTGCCTCAGCCAGAGTTGATTGGTAAGTGAAATTTGTCGAAAAAAACGAGCTTGATTCACTCGACATGCAGGAGTCAAGAGTTTGTCCAGGCACGCAGAATCTGGCCGAAGCTGAAAGTGAAGCGTCAAGTGATTTTGCACAACTGTAGACTGGCATGACTTACAACGTCACGTGATCACACAAGCTCGTGTCTGGTCTGGAAACCAAAGCAAAACACCACGATTTGGCGAGAAGTAGTGTCTGCCGACCAACCACGTACTCCCCATGGGTTCCTAAAACTGCCCTTGTGATTTCCTTCGTCGCAGAACCTTCATGGATTCTCCTCCAATGAAGCTTCAAGGTAGTAGTTGACTTGGGATCTGATCGTTCGGTCACCTAAATTATTTGCAGAGAACGAAATAGATGAAAATGCGGAGGTGGAAGATCAGGCGAATCAATTGTTCCCTGTAGTGGGTCTGTCGAGCGACACAAGGTACAGCGTTGTCATGGTGAGAGAGGATGCCAAGCTTGTACGTTCTCTTCGGATTTCAATCCTGAGTTGGATGGGCTACTCACAGCACTGCTCCACGTGGAAGAACCCCCACAGAGTGGATCCTTTGCAATTCTGCCACCAGAAACGGGGTAACTCTTTCATTGGATGCGACACATGCGGCTGTACCGTAGATTCTGGCGACGTAAACGAACACAAGTGGTAAAAGCTCGCCAAAAAGGTTTCTCTGCAACGCTAACAGCAAAACAGGACTCTCATTGGATGAACACTTCAGACTTTGCCATGGACTCCTGTCCTTCGCTTCCATGCCTTTAAACGGAAATCGTTTTTATATCTGGAATCATTGCATGATCCAGTGGAGGTTTGTTTCGGTGACGATCAAGTGGCTGTGGAAACGCGATCCACTCATGACAAAAGTATATCGCGTGTTGAAGCGTATCCTAGCTGGCGTGAATAGCAAAACGCTGTCGAATCGTCAACATGCAGTATCTTTGCAACCACATCAGTGGTAGCTTCTGAAACATTGCTTACTAAATCACGGATCAGGTCGCTATCAGTGCCAGAAGATCGATCAAGATCACTATTTTGAAATCAACTAGACTGCAAGGATGATTCTGTACCGTAGATTCTGGCGAAATGCACGACCTTTTTCCGTCTCCATCACCCATGAAAGGTTTGTAGTGGACAGACAGTCACCTCATGTGTATGATGGTCCGACTGTACCAATGACTCACCCTGTCACTTACACGCAGCCATAAGTACACAAGGACGCTTGGCTGGTTTAACGCAAGTAAACTGTCATGTCTATTGTCTCCTGTCTTCTCTCGCCTTTAACTAAGTTGCTACAGGTTCTTGAAGTTGACAAGAGAATCGAGAATTGGCCGAGGAAACGCGGTTTAGCTTGTTCCAATCTATCAAAGCATGCTGGACCCAAATATCGATTTCTGACGTGTATCCGAGTTGTTTTAAACGGTGAATTACAGTCGGGTTGTACACATTCAGTCTTCCAGTGATGTCTTCAGTAGTTACCCGTGGATCGTGACTTTCTAGATCAGAGGTGAAGCTATCATCAATACTGGGAGGTCACCCAGAGCGACTTTTATTGATTAGACTGAGGTCACCAAATTGGAATCGACTAGAACATCGATTCTGATGATGTAAACAAACCCAATTTGAAGAAGCTCGCAAAAAAGATTCCTCTGCAACCATAAAAACGCAACAAGAGTACTTC